CTCTATTTTGTTTTTTTGATCTATATTTTCTGGTGCTAGTTTTGGGTCTAATTCTAGGGCATTATTGGTTATCTTAAATAAAGTTTGCCCTGACAAGCTATTTTGCTTGTCTGTTTCTATTAATTCAACTAGGGCACCCTTAAGAGAAATTTGGGGCCGGGCCCCCTGTTTTTCTTCTACCCTTTGTAATCTATTTAAGATTTGCTCCAAGATACTATTTTGTGTTTTACAATTGACTGTAGAATTACTTCTCTGTTTATTGTAATCTACACTATATAATCTAGTTTTTTTTTTAGAGTTTCTGTCATAGGGTATTCTATTTTCTTGCTCTTCTTGATTTCCTCTTTTCCTCCTTATTTGAACCAGTTGCCAAATTATTTTCTAGATTTCTGAGGGGTACTTGTTTAGTGAAAATACGTTTAGCTATTTTTCTTCTTTTTGTTTTAATTTCTGCCTTTCTTCCTCTATTTGGGCTTTTAGCTTCTTTTTTGTATAGGAACATGCTATCAAAAAGATCTTTTTGGTTTATGTTTTCCGAGGTTAGATGCCATTTAAGTTTGGTATTAAAATAGTATATACTGCAACCTTGGGCTAAAAGGAGATCCTCTTCTGATTTGAAATATACAAGGGCACTTTTTCTTTGATTTCCATTTTGATTATATAGGATATGTACTGCTTGGACTTTATATTTCTTAAGTTGTCATAAGAGAAGGCTATCGTATGCTGATGTTGATATATTCAAGATAACACCTTTGTAGTAGCTTCTTGATTCTAATTCACAATGTCAAACTTGCCCGAAGTAGTTTGGTATGTTTTGCCATGTTCTAGGTGAATTGACCAGCTTTCTTTTAAAGATTTTTCTCTTTGTTCTGAGTTTGGTAGGATCTTTATGCATGCTGCCTTTGTTCTAAAGTTCTGTTGCCATGCAATAACAGTTGCTGTACCATATACATTCAGATATAACTTAATTTGGTATGCTTTTATGTCTTTTGGTAGATTTTATATCGTAAAGAGAAAAGTAGATAAGGTAGAAACTTCTTGGTACATAATTTTATTTTTCGGGGCCCAAGACAAATTATAGATATTTTCATATTGTTTGGTTTTCTTGTATCTTGTTTGCTTTAAAGATTTTGTGTCTGCCTGTAATTCATCTTTGATAAGTTCTTGGAGCTCGTAATCTAGTACACTACACTCTTTCTCTAATAATATATTTTTGGCAATTTCTAGATGATCTTTTGGAATATGTGCTACCTCTTCTTGCTCTGTTAGAGCTCTCTTTTGAGGGTTGTCTTGTAATTCTATTTCTATATTGCATATTGTGTTTTCAGTTTCAATACATGGTGGTGTTGGAGCAGTTTCCATGGGGAACTGTATTGTTTGGACTTCACTTTTATTAGACAATGGCTTATCTTTTCTCTCATGTTCTGTATCAATACTCGTTATTTTGGAGGTTCAGTTGGGTATGTGATTAGGTCTTTCATGAGGGAAGGTTCAGATTTTATCTTAATGATACTTTCCTGGTCTAAATTACTATTTGTGTCATCTGTTTGCATTGTATTGATACTCATGCATTCTAACAGGAGGTTTTCTTCTTCTTCTAAAGTTTGTTCTCTTAATAGCTTGTATTGAGCATAATCAAAGTGTTGTAAGATGTTACGTATAATTGCGATAAAATAAGTCTCGCTAGTGCCCGGATATTTTGCAACTTTTCTATCTTGTTCAAATATAAATTCTCTTTGCTTTTCTTGTACTGCTGCCCTTTCAGTTTTCGACTTATTGAAAAAATTTTTATAAATAATAAAATTAGGCATTTTATACGTATTGTTTTGTTGCTTGTAGATACACATGGTTGTTTGTTTTGTTGGTTGATTGTCTACCGATTCTAGTTTGTTTGTTTGTTTGCCTAAAGTAGACGTGTTTGTTTGTTTTGTTCAGATGTGATCTGCAGTACAGGAATAATAGCAAATCCCCAAAATTTCTCAAAAATTTTTAAAATTTTTGTTGAAAGTGTCTTATTTTCTCAGTATTGCACTTTAGAGGGTGTAGTGAGTAAAATTGTTTTAAAAAACTCAAGTTCTTTTCTTTTGTTCTATTTTTTTGCTTAAAACAAGTTCTATTGTTGTCTTAATAAAATAGTGTTTGAGCCCTGGTTGTTTTTTAGCTCCAAATTTGGTTTTGGTGATCGACAGAGAGAGTTTCAATTTTTTGAAAGTAATATTTATTTATGTATCTAAATAAAGATTAAACGATTAGTGATGATAGTAAAAGTAAAATTTAATAATACAAAGCTTATAAATCTAACACTTAATATTGAATAGTATATAGCAGTGAAGAAAGCAAAGGATAAATTAAATAATTATTATACTTTATTAAGTAATCTCCAAACTGTATTATTAAAAAATATATATCGTATATTACCGAATAGAAGCTACCCCCAAATAGAAGCTACCCCTCGATTTTGGATCCAAAAATCTGAAAACGGTTACTATGTTTTAATAGTAAAATTAGACCCGAATAGAAGCTACCCCTGCAGTTTAGCCTAAGAAAATCGAAGAAAATCGAAAATTTTTTGGTAGCTTCTATTCGGTAATATATGGTATATATATATACTTATTCAAGTCGTATGTGTTAATTAATTGTATTTATTATGAACAAACTTAAAAAGAATACTTCTAAAAAAAAAGAATTTCTTTAACTAGTGCGCAAAAAAGAGAATTATGTCAAAAGAAATATGATAATCCAAATTTAAAAGGTGTAGAGTTGGCCAAAACATATGGAATAAGTGAGCAATCAGTATTTGATATTCTTAAGCGCTCTGAATACTGATTAGGCCTCAATAATGCTTCTACATTAATTCAAGCTAAGTATCAAAGAAAGTCGGATTATCCTAATATTGAAGAAGCATTGTCTATTTGGGTCAAACAAGCAATTAGAAATGAGTTTACTCTCACAGGCCATCTTCTTCAAGCCAAAGCTAAAGAATTTGCCACTTTATTTGAAATTACTAGGTTTAATGTAGTGTTCCTATGAACCTAAACTGAACTGAACTTTGGTTAAGTTCAGGTTCAGATTCAGTTCAATCAGGTTCAGTATTGAACTTTTAAGTCAAGTTCATGTTCAGTTTAGGTTCAGTATTGAACCTTTAAGTCAGGTTGTACTCTAAACAATAACACAGGAGAAGTTACACAAAAGAACAATCAATGTAAACTTCCAATTATAAGATGGTTACAA